CTGCTGCGGGTGCTGGTGTTGCAGCTGAGCCCCGCGCTTAGGCAGGACGAGGCTGACCACTCACGGCGAGGAGGCCGGATGAGGTCGAGAATTGCCTAATCCAGACATCGTGCCAAGCAACCCAACGCCGCCAGCGAAATTTGATCACATGACTCCGAGCATCGCAAATTTATTTGGCGGAGTTGTACACTTCGCTGGACGGAGCCGGCAGACCGATATTCAACCAGGAGGATAAGAAGATCACCCGCTCGGCCAAATTTACGCGTATTTCTACCAGTGAGTATCCCATTGAAGCCAATTGCATCTATTAACCCTACCAGCCACTATCCATGTGTATAACTAACCAACCCTCGCTCAGCCAAACCCGCAATAAAATAAAAAAAAGCTATCCTCCAGGCCCCCAGCCCAGCCAAAGAAAGGACTACGAAACCAAATTCGAGGCGATAGCCTCCTCCACTCTCCGCCCTCCGCCATACGCCTATAGGCAAAAGAATAAGAAAGAAAGAAAAAAGACTTGAAACATCGTCCATCATCACAATGTCCCTCGTCAACCTCGCCAACGTCTGCTCCTCCATCACAAACGCCTCCAAAGCCCGCCTGGGCATAATCTCCATCTCAAACACAAAGCTCCACCTCCGCCTCGCCCTCGCCCTCCGCGATGCCGGCTTCATCTCCACCGTCGTGCTAGCCGGCAACAACCCGCCCCCGCAACACGTCCTCCTCAAAATCCCTGCCGCCAACGACGAAATCGAGCCCATCGAGCCCGTGACGAAGGAAAACGTCGCCTCGCGCCGCCTCTGGCTGGGGTTGAAATACTGGCAGAGCGAACCGGTCATTACCAAGATGTCGATGGTGAGCAAGCCCACGCGCCGGCTGACGCTGGATCTGCCCAAGTTGAGAGATGTTGTGCGCGGGCATAAGCGGGACACGGTGGAGGGGTTGAGGTCGCCGGGGGAGTGTTTGTTTTTGTCGACTAATCAGGGGATTTTGGAGGCGAGGGAGTGTGTGGAGAAGATGTCTGGGGGGATGGTGTTGTGTAGAGTTAATTGAGCGGATGGTTTTGGGGAGTGCTTTGGTTGGTGATGGTCTTTTATTTCCCTTGCCCTCTTCTTTTTTCTTTTCTTTTTTGTTTTTGGCCGCATTTGGAATGGAGTTTTTATGTTGTCTGGTTTTTTTACAGCAGCAAGGTAGTACGCTGCATTGGACTCGAGTTTTGGAGGACCAGTGCCTGCGACATATCTGCATTGCCTGTATGAATATTGTATATTATCGATCGATAAACCAAACCCCCCCCCTACCGTCTCTCCATTTTGATAGCTGGTCAAGGTCATTCTGGATAAAACTCGGGCTTTTAGACATCTATGCCTTCGATTTTCCTCCTTTTGCAATGCAATGTCGACAGATGGAGTGCCAATAATGCTGTGCCTGATATTTTCTATTCCGCTAGATTTACATCATCCGTAAAAACGAGAGGCGGCCATTGACCCATTTCTCTCCCTCCCACTGCCCAGGTATGCAGCCAATCTCTGAACTCTTCACTTCCAAAACAAAAAAAAACCTCACAATCTGCAGCCACCGTCGGTACAAAGGAATGACTTGCCCGAGAATCAAAATAAAAATTATATAAATATAAAAATTCAAAAAATAAATCTGAAATATCAGGGTCTTGCCGCGACTCGAACGCGGGGCCTCTCGCATATCAATGAGATGACTTAGAGTGAACCCTAAGCGAGAATCATACCACTAGACCACAAGACCTGAGTAATCATGGTTATGTTTGCGGTCAAATTTTCTTTGTGCGAGTGGTGCCATATTTTTGGTTTTGGGGTGAATGGGTGGTGTGGGAGGGATTGTGGTTTTTTTGGTTCTTTGGAGGGAGGGATTATGGTTTTTTTTTGGGTTCTTTGGAGGGTGGTTGGGAGATACGTGTGTTCGAAGGGTTTTCTTTTTGTTTGTAGTGTTGGGTGAAGTAGATATTGTTCGGTGTTATTATAGGAGAGATCCTGCAGATGCGGACTATATATATATATTTATATATTATAACGACATCCACACTGTGATCGAGGGCAGGTTAACCCACCCCCCCCACCATTTCCCCTCAAGCAAACAAACATCAAGTTCATTATGAGCCGTTAAAGAACTCTCAATCGATCCATCATTTTTTATTCATAAGTTTGATCGATGGATTGATGCTATATACGTAGCAAAAGAATAACAAAGTGAGAGAGGGATATAATAACCGTCGTAACTAACAAGATGAAAATACAAACAAACAATCAAGAGAAACAAACAACAATAATTAAAGGGAAAAAAAAAGAGAAAAGCTACCAAAGACCGGAGAAGACACGTCAAGGGGGAACGGCTAGTTAAATAAAGAGAGGAGAATTGCAGATATCTCTCATACACCCCACCCGGCGCCCGTCTCGATTCGCGAGGCCGGGTGCCTGTAACTCGGGCTTATCTAGACACGTGGAATCTTATCTAGACACGTGGAATAGGAGGGGAAATGCGACGTGTGGGATTTGGGCGGAGTAGGAGGAAGAACGAGGCAACAGAGAAGGAGAAGGGGAAGGAGAAGCGACGCTGGTGGGCGGTCTGTTTCCTGCATCCACCGCCCCGCCCCGCCCCGCCTCGACCCCCCATGTTTCCCTCTGTCTACCTCCCCTTTCCCTCTTTGATATCCTGTCGATTTTAATCATTCATTCCCCAACAACCGCCAACTGACGGCAATCGTTACTTTTCCGTTGGTGTAGTGTTCCAAGGGAGCGATGACGAGTAAATGTTAGTTGGCCGGCTGGGTTTGGGTGTTCTTGATGTCGGAGTGCTCTTCCTCTTGTTTCTCCCGTTTTCACTTCTCCTCCCTCTTCTCCGCGGAATTGCATTGGTATATATATCCACATCTGCATCGTTGCGCGAGATATCATGCCACCCAATCCATGACCATATACGCATGTATGCATATGCAATATATTTTCCACCACCGTCTCCTCCCCTAAACCAAGAACCGAAAAAAATAAAAACAAGAAATAAAAACGAACTCCCCTCTTAAAAAGAAAATGACAGAAGGAAAAAAAACACACCAGCCCCTTAACCAAAAACTCAACGCTTCCTCTCAAAATACCCACTCGACCCCAACACTGCCACGCTCTGATCCATCACCCACTCGCCAATCCCCAAGTAACTTTCCACCCACTTAGTCACCTGCGGGTTATCCGATATCTTTTGCGAATTGAGGCTGGGGCTGAGAAAATGGGGTTCATCCAGCGACCCCACTTGACCCAACGACACGGACGCGGGGGTGGATGTGATAGGCGGTTACAGTTGCGGTTTTGGTATGGTATGCAAGGGGCTCGGGAAAGCTAGTCCTCCTCGGTTTTGGTGGGATGGGGTCTGTGTAATTCCCGTGGTTGTTGTATTGTAGGACACAGAGAGGTGTAGTAGAGGAGGAGGAGGAGCAGTTCCCGTTTACTTGTGTCCCATACCGCTGCCGCAATATTCCAGTCCATCATCCCCCCCCGTCGTCGTGCGTGGGAGTGGGGGGGAGAGGTGAGTGCATGTTAGCTTGCGTTTCCTTTTTCTTTTGTACAGTACATGTGTCGGAGACTTGTGAGTGGGAGTGGGACTTGGGGGGAGGGGAAGGAGGTGCTTTTGCCGAATAGACCAATAGCGGATTAAAAAACAGGAGAGCAATGGTATTTACGTTAGCCCTGTTGACCGCTTGATGCCAGCGAGGAATGCGGAAACTATTGTTTCGGGGCGATTTAATATGTTAGCTGGTGTGCCCTCGCAAGCTTGGGTTTGTTTGTTTGTTTTTGATTGTTTTGTTTTGGTACGGGGCGGGATACGTACGGAGAACGGCATCGAAGGCGTAGTGAGTTATGCGTCCGAGCTGGAGGGAGAGTGTCAGTAAGAATGCGACAGAGGGATAAGGGGGTTCAGTCAACATATGTAGGAACTGGAGGGGGAGGGGGAGAGGGCAGGGGGCAGGGACGGACCACCATGGTGATAGATCGGGGGTATGTTATTGAGGAGTGTATGTATAGCGGCGCTCTTCTTGCTCGGGTTGTTGGGTAGGACCGGCCTGGGGGAGTGAACGCTGATAAGAGGGCAAGAGAGGAGGATATCGTGGTAGCTGGAGGAGAAGAAGAAGAAGAAGACGAAGCTGCGGAGAGGTGGATTCGATATTTGATATTGGGTATAGTACGGTTGTATACCGCTGATGTTGCGATGTTGCTGATGGTCCGGGCAATTCGGTTGCCTGGGAAAGCCAATGAGGTAAGTGGTGAGTCATGTGACGGGCCTGGACAGATTACATAAGAGCCGATTGACAGCTAGTCCAAACTAGGACTAGTGCGTCAGTTGCCTGACAACGGAAGAATATAAACCCGGGCGATTGGCGCCACAGTGGATCCAGCCAATCAACAGCCAGATACCCCGCTGTGGGTCCATGGTGGGGGCTCTGTCGCGGTCTGGGTCGGTGTTACATAAGCAAACACCGTCACCGGAAAAGGCAATTAATTGTTGATATTTTTGTGTGTTTGATATTCAATAACTTGTGAAATATAGATATAAATATATTTTCCATTCTTGAGGAGGCTGTGGGGGATATCTGAACGTAGAGGAGTCCATGTAGTGTGTGTTTCTATGAAGTTTTTGGGTACTCAACGGCATCCAAATAGAGGAGTGATGAGTTGCAACAGAAGAATGCGACAGCAGCGGCGAATGCGGAGCACTTGGAAAGTGGGTTTTGTTGGCTGATAAGAGCTCAGAGCTGGTGGAATAATACTAATAATAATGAATATGTATGACTGACGTAAAGCAATGTCATAAAAATGATGGGATGTTTTTTCTTGTAGCTGATATCAACATTTGTGATTCCCGCGTATTCTTCCAATTCTGTTTCTCTTCTTTTTACTTCTGCATTCTGCATTTACATAGAAGAAGCTAATAGTTATTGTAACAAGATATCTTTCTTCATCTGCACAATTTTTGCCTTCTTCTGCAAACGGCCACCTCTCGTCCCGCCTTATTGAGCAAAAAACAAACTATCCCGGGCTAACCAAGAAAGAAATAGAAGGAAAAAAAAAACAAGACAAGACAAGAAAGAGACCCAACAGGGGGCTCAGCATCGTCCAGTGAGCTCTCCCCCCCCCATTCCTAGCGCAAGGCTGCTGCTGTTCTTTGTCCTGGCTGGTGGGAATTGCACTGACTGAGCTGGCTGTGTGCGGGCTGACTTGCAGCGCCAACACATCTCAGGCCGTGTTGCGGAGCAATCATCGCCGCAGCTTCAACCACCACGATCTATCTCCGCACCATTGAGACGGAGGAATACGCGGAGCTTGCTGGGAGATTCCCCCCACATCTCGTTTCTTTTTCTCTCCCTCTGCTCTACTTCTTCTCCGTCTTCTTTTTTTTCCCACCAGTTCTTTCTCACCACCTGCAACCGTGGCCTCGCTACAAGGTCAACAGCAACAACCCGCCACCAGAATGGCGAACTCCCTCGATCACCTCACGAGCAGAAGCAAGCTGGAATGGATGTCCAAGCTGCAGTGCGACTACAAGCCGTTGAGGGGAGAGAATATTGCCAACTACGCAAACTTCCGCCGTACCTCCATCATATGTACCATTGGTGCGTTGACTTCACATTTCCCCTCCTTTGTTCTTCTTCTTCTTCTTCTTTGTTTCCTCTCCTTGACACCCCGCACTGGTGGCTGCAGCTGAAGAAGTTGCTTCTCCTATTTCATCTGTATTTTATATCGTTTAAATCATAGAACCCAGGCTAACACTGGACTTGCCTTCCTGCGGATTAGGTCCTAAAACGAATTCCACCGAGAAGATCAATATCCTTCGCAAAGGTTCGATTTACACCCCGCTGCGTTTCGATGTATTTATTTAATACGGGACTGACTTATATATTCCTCACTTCCAGCCGGTCTCAATGTTGTTCGCATGAACTTTTCCCATGGCGATTATGACGTAAGGGGATACATCTATTTTATATACATCTGTTCTTGGATGTTTGCTCAAATAGCTAACTGACTGGCTTTGCCTTCTATCTAGTATCATCAATCCGTCATCGATAATGCCAGAAGGGCAGAGAAAGTTCAGGAAGGTCGACCTCTTGCTATTGCCTTGGATACCGTAAGCTATATCCCTATTCTATGAACTACATTCATAACTGCTGGTGCGAATTTGGGAGCTGACAGTTTTTGCTTTCTCTTCTTAACTTGAATAGAAAGGACCTGAGATTCGAACCGGGAAAACAGTCGATGGCAAGGATATCAAAATATCTGAAGGGACCGAGTTGATTATTACGTCGCATGACGATTATGCGGAGAAGAGTGACATCAATTACCTGTTGGTCTTTACCTCCCCGTGCTACTTCGATTAAAACCCCTCCCAATGAAAATATCTAATCCCCTATAATCAGATACGTCGACTATAAAAACATCACCAAGGTGATCTCGAAGGGCAAACTCATATACGTGGACGACGGTATCCTATCCTTCAAAGTCCTCGAGATCATAGACGACAGCTCCCTGCGCGCCAGATGTCTGAACAACGGCGTCATCTCCTCCAAAAAGGGCGTCAACCTGCCCGGCACCGACATTGATCTCCCCGCCCTCTCCGAGAAGGACAAGGAGGACCTCCGCTTCGGCGTGAAGAACAAAGTCGACATGATCTTCGCCTCCTTCATCCGCCGTGCCTCCGACATCCGCGACATCCGCGCCGTCCTTGGCGAGGAAGGTCGCGAAATC